CGCCTCCCGCCGGCCGCGTCGCGCCTTCCGCGGACCGGCCAGGACCCCGCACCTGAGTCTCTCGGTTGAACTGGTCTCAGTAGAGCCCCAAGTCCACTTGTCTCCTCTTCCTCCAATGATCTCTAAGGGTTGCAGGAGCTCGGGGTTCAGGGGCGGGAACCCGGTTTTCCTTCCCTCGCAGGGAGGAAAAAACAGCAAGCTGCTACCGTGGCCCGTACGGGGATCGAACCCGCGACCTTGGCGTTATTAGCACCACGCTCTAACCAACTGAGCTAACCGGCCACCTGACTCCCCAGCGCCGTCGGGACGCCTATGAGGATCTCCCTCGGCGCTCCGCCCGCCGCCCGCCGCCCGCCGCGCTCTGCTCTCCTCACAGGGCCCGGCGGCGGCGTTCGCGATCAACGCCCCGAGCGAGAGGGAGAAGCGGAAGCTGCGGGCTCGGGAGGTCGGGCGGCTGCCCCCGCACGCCAGCCGCGGGCCCTCACAGCCGCCTCAGTTCCTCACGGCGGAGACCGCGCGCGCATGCGTGTTTTAGCATCCAGCGTCACACCCGCCGGCGCGGGGCCGGCGCCCGGGCGCGGGGCGGTCCTCCCGGGAGGCCGGCGTGCGAGGATCGCGGCTCCAAGCCCGTGAACCACGGAACCGACGCACAAAAGGCAGAAAAGGAGCCTGGCTGGCCCTGAGGGGAACACGGGAGGCCCGCGCCCCGTTCGCGGCCGGCCCCCTCGGGCCACGCCGCGGCACAGCGAACGCTGTCGCGGGGTTGGGTCGGGGCCGGGTGTCCCGGCGTCGCGTGCGCTCCGCAGCCCGGCCGGGGGCTGTGGCGCTCCCCGCAGGGTCGCCAGCACCTCGAACCCTGGCTGTCACCGAGTCAGGGTCGCGCGGGTTCGCGGGACTCGCGGGGGGGGGGGGCAGGAGCTGGGCGGGAGCAGGCGGTCAGCCTCCCCTGGCCGGGGGCGCGCTCCGGGAGGCGCGGGCCGGGCGGCAGGGCGCCCTTCCCCGCAGCGCCTCTCCCCTGCGCGCACAGCTCTTCCTCGCACAGCCTGTCCCCTTCTCGGAGGAGCGCACGCGCTTTCGCACTCACTGAATGTCATTCGCTTGGTCTCAATGGTGGGAAGGGCATGGTGCGCAGAGAGCGACCCAGGGCTGGGAAGGTGGCTCAGTGGTAGATCTTTGCGTGCATGAGGCCCTGAGTTCGATTCCTCAGCACCACATACGCAGGAAAGGCTGGACATGGCGCTGTGGCTCAACTGGTAGAGTGCTCGCCTTGAGCTGAAGAGCTGAGGGACAGCAGTTCAAGCCCCGGTACCATAAAAAAGAAAGAAAGCAACCTGGAAGTTTTATATTGTTTCCTTTGAAACGGATTTACAAACAGCTGTCTGCTTCTTCACTTGAAACCTTTGGTGTAGCCATAAAGACCTCTTTATTAGCTTCCAAAGGTGCCTTAACAAAGCAGGCAAGCTCAGGTGGCTTAGGAAAGCACCCAAGTTCTGGGGTGGGAGCCAGGTTTTCCCCTCAAGGCCTGGCAGGCCTGGTTCTTCCTGAGGCTGAGCGCTCCTGCATCCCAGACCTGTCTCTGTTTCTAGCGTGGTTGGCAATCTCTGCCTCCTTTGGCATACACAGAAGCGGTGTGGCCCCTTGGGTGTCTGCCCAATCTTCCCTCTCCTTTTTTGTGCCAGTCCTGGTGTTGAACTCAGGGCCTGGGCACTGTCCCTGAGCTTTTGTGCTCAAAGCTAACGATCTACCACTTGAGCCACAGCTCAAGTGTTTTTGGTGGTTAATTGGAGATAAGAGTCTCATGAACCTTTCTGGCTAGGCTGGCTTAGAAAATGGATCTGCACATCTCAGCCTCCTGAGTAGTCAGCATTGGAGTTGTGAGCCATCTGTGCCTAGCTAAAATTCCTCTTAATAAAATCAAACACATGAGATCCTATAGCAGCTGTGTATCCTCTTTTAATTGGGTGACATTCTCCCTGTTTTCCTGTCCTAAACTCTGGACTGTATACTCTCCAGCCCTACTAATGGCTATACCAGGATGCTCATCCTGAGAAGCGTTTTCCATGTCTTCTGTGTACATTTTCTTCCTCTCAACCCCAGGTTTTGTGTTTTACCCCATGTTTACCTTTTGTCTGGGTTCTAAACATCCATCAGTGGCTGCCCAAGAAAAGTTTTTCAGAAGGTAAGACACTTTCAATATTGGAATTACAAACCAATTCTGTGATAGAAAAGAAAGCAAAAACCATTTTAAAAAATACAAATAAAATGCTTCATCATACAATATATTCTGTGTCAGACCTTTCAGACAATACAAATGAATAAGAAGCAGAAGGACTTTGTAAACATTGCTTCTAATTTGCTATAATAAATCAGTTGGTTCCAGAGTCCCACTGTTTGGAAAAAGATCCTTCCTAAGGCATGAACATCATTGCAAAGTTTTTGTCAAGTCTCTCTTGGACATAACACACAGGTAGAGAAACACAGGGAGGCTGGGAATGTGGCTTAGTGGTGGAGTGCTTGCCTAGCATTCATGAAGCCCTGGGTTCAATTCCTCAGTACCACATTAAAAAAAAGCCAGAAGTGGTGCCGTGACTCAAGTGGTAGAGTCCTAACCTTGAGGTAAAGAAGCTTAGGGAGAGTGCCCAGGTCCACAGTTCAAGTCCTAGGACTGGCCTACAAAGCAGGCCTTGACCTCTTCCACAGACTTTGTTGTGTGCTGGGTCCCCAACTCTGTCAAAGCAAAGCCCAGGTGTACGCTCAACTTACCATGATTATCAACTCTGTGTGTGCAGCATGTAGGTGCTGAGATTTAAACTCAGGGCATGGGCATGTTCCATTAGCTTTTTCACTGTAAGACTAATACTTTACTACTTGAGCCACAGTGCTACTTCCAGCTTTTTGCTGGTTAATTGGAGATGAGAGTCTCAAGGACTTTTCTGCCTCTGCTGGCTTCAAACCTTGATCCTCAGATCTCAGCTTCCTGAGCAGCTAAGATAACAGGTGTGAGCCACAGCACTTGGCTTCCTAATCTGCTAGTCTCTAGGCAGCCAAGTCTCCCCCACTCCCTGTCACTTACAAGGGAAACCACAGTCTTCCTCGATCAGAAAGCTTAACCCCCAAAGTCGCAGGCCCTTTCTCTTTCTCCTCCTCCTCCTCTGTCCTCACCCAGCAGGCTCCATCCCTGGGTTCAGGAAGCCAAGCACTAACCCATGTCCTCATTGTCCTCAGCCTCAAATGTAGCTTCTTTAGTTTCAAAAAAGAAAAAGAAAAACCAGGGACAGCTGATCTCTCAGGGTATTTATGAAGCCAAGCAAATCAGCGTGCTCAGGGTTCTGTGGTTTTTACTGCATCGTTCCTACCTCAAGGCCAGGCCACTGTCTGTCTAAGATGCCTCATTTGCACACAGTTTATTTACATTTTTTTTTTAAAAACTTAACTTTAGCCGGGCGCTGGTGGCTCACGCCTGTAATCCTAGCTACTCAGGAGGCTGAGATCTGAGGATCGCGGTTCAAAGCCAGCCCAGGCAGGAGAGACCATGAGACTCCTATCACCAATAAACCACCAGAAAACCGGAAGTGGTAGAGCGCTTGCCTTGAGCTGAAGAGCTGAGGGACAGCGCCCAGGCCCAGAGTTCAAGTCCCACGACCAACAAAAAACTTTACAATAGAACCCAAGTTTCAAACCATTAGGAACTTTGTCTATACGGTTCTCCTTTCCCAAAAACCTGAACCGGTTCCTGGAGCAACATAAATGAATGCTGGGGAACACTGGTGGCTCACGCCTGTAATCCTACTAGCTATTCAGGAGGCTGAGCTCTGAGGACCGGGCAAGAAAGTCCTTGCAATTCTCATCTCTAATTAACCACCCAAAAGTCAGAAGTGGAGCTGTGACTCAAGTGGCAGAGCGCCAGCCTCGAGCAAAATAAAGCTCAGGACAGCACTGGGGTCTCGAGTTCACGTCCCAGGACTGCCCGCCCTCCCCACCCCCATTGTGTGCTCAGACTGTAGCAGGAGCTGGGAATTCATTGGTGCCAACTAGTGTCACAGCTCACCAACCAGTGAAAGCTCAAATCTGGAGCTTCGCTTCGGGAAGAGCCGGGCCGCCCACGCGCCGGGGCGGGGAATTGTATTCAATTGAAAGCTGCGAGATCGGTTGCTTAGCAACCAGGCTGAGGAGGCCGTCCCTACTGCGCACGCGTGTACCGGCGGGGGGGGGCTTTTTTCCCTTTGCGCACGCGCAGGACATGGCCCAGGGGCGCTCAGGGCCTGGCGGTTGCTAAGGTGACGGGGATACAATATGGCGGCGGAATCCTAACGCTCTCCGGCTAGGGGCCACCGCGGTCCTCGCGCCAGACCGACCTCGGGAAGTGGACGGCGGGGTGCCGCGCTTTCTGCGCTCTTTTTCTCTTCCGCGTCGGTGAGGGGCTGTCCCCGGCGTCCGCACCCAGGATGAAGAGTGAGTGCGGCCGGGGAGCGGCCGGGGGTCCCGGGCC